TCTCCCATCCCTGGACAAAGGCCCGCGCCGCTGGGACACTTGTGGAGGGAGCAGAGGGAGAAGCTGCTGGGGTTGAATAATGCCCGCCTCCCTCACCCTCGCGCCCCGGCCCCCCTACCAGTGACATACCCCCACCCCACTTTGCACCCTGGTCCCCCTACAGCCGCAGAGCTCACTCCACCACCAGCGAGTGGTCAGACCACCAAGGGGCCCGGTCAGTGGTGAACCTTGACTGGGCCCCAGAGGGGCCCCAGCTGGAGGCGTAGTGGTTTGCAAATGGCCCGCAGACGGTTCTGTGGGGTGCACTTGGAATGCGCGTGAAGGAGGTGGCGCCGAAGCCCGGGTCCTTGGGACACTTCCTCGACTGCCGAGGGGCATTACTTGCTCCCTATCTGGGGGGCATCGGAGTGGAGAGGTTGGGCAGGAAGACTTTGTCCAGGAAGGGGACGCCAGGCCTCTCGAGAACCTCCCTCTCCCCCCGTGGTCATCGCATATGGGTAGGTCCCAGGATTCTGTCTCTGCAGTGGAGGCCCCACCCCTCCCGCCACCGGAGGATGCTGAGAGGAGCCCGCCCAAGTCTGGGGGTGGGCCTACTGGAGCTAGGCCAGCCTCCTGGAGAGGCTGAGGCCAGCAGTAGGACTGTGGGGGCTCGTGAGCATGGTCTTTCAGAGCAGTGGCTGGGGCAGTATGAAGTGTGATTGGGGTGGGATAGGTACACCCCCTTGTGAGCGTATCCTGAGCTGTCATTGACTTGTGTGACCCTGGCCCTGTGAGGGGTACCCGTAGGGATTTGGAGAGCAAGTGGATGGCATCAGATGGGAGGTGCTGGACGGGCCATGTGACTGGGGCCCTCAGATGAGCCTGGCACCTAGTCTCAGGGCAAGTCCATCTGGGAGGACCCCAGTCCCCAATGCTCCTCCTCCAACCCAGCAGCTGAAAACTCCAGCCCAGGCCCAGCTGTACTCCCCGCTGCACCCCCGCCCGGCCCTAACCAGAACTTCCTGGGGAGGGAGGGGCAGCAGCCTTTCAGTGCCTGCTGGAAGCCACCCAGCTGTTTGTGGCACTTTGTGCCGCTTCCTTCCGGGGGTGGGCGACAGACGTGTCATAAATACAGACTTGTGAGGCAGGCCTGGATGTGACTCCCACCCCTTTCTTTCCTCCTTACCCCCTGCAGCCATTCTGCCCAAACAATGACTCCCCCTTCCTGCCTTCCTGTGTGCCCAGCCTCCCTTCCCTCCTCCCTTCCTCCTCTCCCCACCAGGGAAACTGAGGCTACTATTGGGCCCTGTTCCCGGGTGAGGGCAGGGGCAGGGTGGGTGCTGTTCTGTATTCATTTTTGTTTTGATTTCACCAATGGTGACCGGTCCTTGTGGAAATCATGGGGAGTCCACACATCCCTGGGGGAATGTTTGATCCCCAACTTGAAGATAAGGAAAGAGAGGCTCAAGGGCAGCCCAGGCCCCCAGGAGGCGGAGGCAGGGCTGGAGCCAGCAGCCCACTTCTCCAGATGTTCCAGCCTGAGTGCAGGGCCTTGCATAACCTCTGTGCACCACCCCCCTCCCCTCCACTTCCTGGTTTGAGGTCTGAGGCTCCAGCACAGGCTGGAAGTGCTGGGCTGAGTGTTCCCACTGTGGCTTACAGGGCACGCTGGCTGGCTGGCTGTGGGTGAGAGAAGGTGGTGCCAGGTTAGGGGGGGTGGACCTCGGGGTCTTCTCTGTCCCCACTGTGGCCTGCTGCTGGGCTGGAAGAAGATGAAGGTGAGGATACCCTTGATGCTCTGAAAAGGGTCAGTGCTGGAGTGAGCTGCTCTGTGCCCCGCCGCCCCATGGCCATTGTCACTGGAGACTTGAGAGAAAGGACAGCAGCTCCACCAGCCACAGAGGCCAGAGTTCCAGCACCAGCATCGTTCCCACCTGGCACATGGTTCCGTATCCTCTTTAGTGTAGGGATGGCTAACACCATGAAAGGGATGGCACCCTCCAACTTCTCAGCAGGGTGGTTTCTGGCATCCTGATGGGCCCTGGGGGCTCAAGAGTCTCCTTGGGCAGTGAGGGCGACTGAAGGAAGTCTGCATGGGCTGCATCTTCCCCTCCTGGAGCTGTGCTGCCAATGTTACTGGACTCTGAGCCCAGGTACTCACATGTGCTGAGACACAGGGAGAGACAGCTGCCTCAGAAATAGCCAATGACTTCAGGCCCCTGAACCATCTGGCCCACCTGTGCCTCTTCCCCAAATAGCCAGAGGTTGGTCCGGGACCTATCCAGGCCCCCCAAAGCTCAGGGCTTGCTTGCTGAGCTGAGGATTCCAGGGTGGCTGGAGGGGAATCTTTTTAGTGGTCAGGACTCCCTCATGTCCTAGATTCACAGGGGTGGTCCAGACACCAGCCCATCCCCAGTCACCTGCCCACACACTAGGCAGTTGTGGCTGATTTCCTTTTCTCCAGGGCTGGGGGTGGGGGTGGGGGTTGGTGCAGGGAGAAGAAAGAGGGACCAGGAGCTGGATTTCCATGTCAGGGGCTCCCCAGTCAGAGCACAGGGCAGTGGGCCAGATGTGAGGCAGAGCACACATGTGTGCATACATGTGTCCCTATAGACTGGGACTAGGTCTGGGCATTCATGTGTCCAGGCCTCCGCTCACACCATCCTTTGGATACCAGGATTCTGGCTCAAGAGGCCCAATGGGATGGGCTGAGAACCTGGGTATTCCTGGATTTGCCTGCCAGGGTGCACTGGGGCGGGCCTTGGGAGCAACAACTGTGAGGGACAAGAGTTGGCCACAGAGGGTGCTGAGGATTCCATGGTGCTCAGGAGCTGAAAGGGTCCTTTGGAGGTAACCTGAAAGAATATAGGGGAAGGTCACTTACCTGTGACTGGACATGGAGACCATCCTCTCTGGGGAGGGAGCATGATTTTGGGAAAGGCAGCTCTCATCCACTGAAGGTGACTCCTGGCGGCTGAGGGTGGGGGGCTGGGGAGTGAGCACCTGTCCCAGCTGCAAGCTAGCTCGGCAGCTGGGAATGAGTGTCTGGGTTGTGGAGGGGTCTGGAGGGTGCCCTGCAGCACTGGATGCCCAGTCATGGCATGCTTTGGAGGTGATCCCAGACCCTGGCCTCCAGAGAGGACACCGCTGCTGGCCCTGCCAGCCCCGTCTGGGCATCCAGGTGGGTGGGGCATACTTATTCCTGGCAGGGGTCAAGAATGCCAGGCATGGAGAGACTGTCCTGTCTCTGGCTGAGAGCCTGGCATGGGAAGGGTGGCACATGTGGGCTGCAGGAGCCCTGAGCATCAACATGGGTAACCTTCTTCTTGCCTTGTGTCCCCAAGGCCCCTGAAGTCACCCCCCATGGCCACCCCAGTAAAGAAGTCCTCCTGTAGCCCTCCAAAGCTTTCACTGTCTCCCTCTGCGTAAGAATTGTGTTGATATACCTGTGTTTGCTAATGACCTGGTATGTGTGGGCACTACTCTGTCCTATGGTATGGACAAGGAGACAATCAGAGGGTTTTGTCCCTTGCCCAGGTTCCAGGGCCAACCTGTAAGCTGGCTGCCACCTCAAATTGTCACCTTTATTTTCTCTGGAGCCAAGGACCAGGGCAGTCCCACCCTTGGCATAGTTTGCTGACCGTGGCAGCAACTTGGTTCAAAGAGGAAAAGGACCACCTGGTCCCAGACCAGCAAAGGGCCCGAAGACACATTTGTGGGTCCCCCGAGGCTTTTGGGGCTGGGCCTCACATGCCTCAGTATTGTGGCCCCAGTGGAAGGGTGCTTAGAACACCCATGGTCCCAGTTCTGTTTTCTCTGAAGGAAGAAGAAAGATCACCCAGAATCTCTCCATGGAGAGGGGGGCCCGCCACCACTCACAGTGCCTGCTCAGCCCTGCCTATATCCTGCCATTGACCTCTCACCCCCATTGGTCTTTCTTTGGGGTGGTTTGCCGCCCCCCACCCCAGTCCAGCAATGTCAGGTGTGAGGAATGCTGGAAAACCCTCTCCAGCAGCCTCAGCCTAGAGCAGATGGGTCATTTTTTGTCCAACTCAGCAAGTGCAGGGGTGAGCTCCCCTGCAGTGCGTGAGCTCTGAAAGGAGGAGGCTGGTGGATAGATTTACAGTAGATCCAGGGACGCTCTCCCACATCTACCCTCCGCACACGCCCACCCTCCGCTTCCACCCTTTCTCAAGCAAGAGCAGAGGCAGAAAAAGGTTAGGACTCACTCTGGAGTCCAGGAGTGGCTGAGGAGCCCAGGACCAACACTGGCCATCAGGCTCCGTGCAACTGGGCCACCAGATCCTCCCTCCTCGGCCAGGGTGCTTTCGACCCCTGGCCACAGGTGTCCCCGCGGCCAAACACAGGGGAGAGCGGAGCCTAGCGGCCTTCCCGGAGGAGGTGACTCGGGCCGGGCGGGCCGCGCGCATTCCTGAGCCCTGAGTCAGCGCGGCCGCCCCCTCCGGCCGGGCCCGCCCCCGGCGCGCACGCCCCTCGCTCCATGGCATTCCCGGGCGGGCGGTCCGGACGGGCGGGCGGGGACACGGAGGCGCGGGCGCCCTCCGGGCCGGCGGCGGCAGCCCCTCCCCGAAGCCCTCAGGACCCCCGAAGACCCCAGTGCCGGCGGCGGCGGTGAGTGAGCGCGCCGGGAGCGGGGCGCGGGGCGCGGG